GGTATTTTATGCTGTATTTTCTGTATTTAATTACAATTAAACAAACTCAGAATTTTAATAGTGTATATATTAATAACAAATTATATAGCTTATATATAAATATGCTATTTAAATAAATTATATGTTTATAGTGATGTTGGTGGAGTGTATCCTATGATATATGTACTGGTGCCTAGCACTGTGCAAGACCAAAGTTAATGCATAACTACAGGAAAACATGTTTTGTTTACATGCTGTTCACATACATAAACGATATTTAAGAATTTCCTGACTGTGTGACATGTTTAATATGGCAGCCTTGTGTACTGTAATGTATATGCTGTTTAAAATCCTAATGTTTCTAGACTTTTGTGTAGTGTATATGATATGATGCATGTACAAGAAAAAACTACCAGCGGTATTTTATGCTGTATTTTCTGTATTTAATTACAATTAAACAAACTCAGAGTTTTAATAGTGTATATATTAATAACAAATTATATAGCTTATATATAAATATGCTATTTAAATAAATTATATGTTTATAGTGGTGTTGGTGGAGTGTATCCTATGATATATGTACTGGTGCCTAGCACTGTGCAAGACCAAAGTTAAGGCATAACTATAGGAAAACATGTTTTGTTTATATGTTGTTCACATACATAAACGATATTTAAGAATTTCCTGACTGTGTGACATGTTTAATATGGCAGCCTTGTGTACTGTAATGTATATGCTGTTTAAAATCCTAATGTTTCTAGACTTTTGTGTAGTGTATATGATATGATGCATGTACAAGAAAAAACTACCAGCACAATAAGTACCCTATCCATTCTCTACAGGAACTTTATTTTGTGGGTGAATTCTGAGTATTTATTTATTTTTTCACTATGGTACAGCTGTGTATAATGTATGTGATTTTATTTTGTTTGTCAGTGAATGTTATGTCTGGTCTGTTGTGATGAATTATTTGTCTGTGATTATGGCTTGGTCATAGTATATTATTGTGTGTTTTATTATCTATAACTGTCTAAGGTGTTAAGAATTATACTTTCCAAAAACAAGAAAAAAGAATAAATGCAATGAAATATGTAATTAAAAATTTTTTTTAAGGTAATGATGTGTACTCTACTATTTCAAGCAAGCGTTGATTATTCTCGAAAAGGCCAAGAGTATCAGTTAATAATGAAAGCTATTAATAGTTGTGATCTTTGGTCAGCATACAGAGTTGCAAGACAAGCAACAAGATACGGACATCATGAAGTGGCTGCACAGATTTTTTCACTGTTGTGTAATAGAGTAAGATAATGAAAAATGATAAAATCTTTTAATATATATTTTAGCTTATAATTTACTAATCTTAATTATTACTAATAGGTTAGTTCTGAACATTTTCATTTCTGGTTAATGTCATTATGGGAAATCAGTGAAGCAGAAAATTGCCTTCAAAGATGTAAAACCGGTACCAGTTTTCACGAATCATTATCTCAAGCTATCACACACTATTCTAAAGCTGTTTCAGGACTAAAGGTAACTATACATAATAATAAAATATAAAACTTTATATGAATATTTTCGTCTGTGACACAAAATCAGTTAGGTCAAAAAGATTTGATATTTGAATTTGAACAAATATCAGTCCAATTTAGTAATTTAATGAAATCACTATATCGGACTTTACTCTATTTTTTTGGAAAGACTTCATCCAATGATCAGTTCATAATTATTTGTTATTTAAACATAATTCATATTCTGATGTTTGCCTGTAAATTTTTAAATTTATTTTCATTTATTTGAAAGATTCTGCAAATCTTAACTGAAGTATTGTTTATTAATAGGATTATAGTTGCATATATACATTTAACATAGGTACATCATCGAATTTCCAGCAACTGATGGTCCAGCACGTCCTTTAATTTGGACAAAATTATGAGAGGGAATTTGAAATTCCCATAGCTATCAAACTAGTTTGCTGGGGGACTAATTGCTATGTGTAGGGCATGCTTATTTATGTTATTTACACTGCACTTGTTAGTGGCAGTACTACAATTCTGTGATATTCTTAGTTTATTTTGCTTAAATTTAATTCTAGCTATGACACATGTCACAAAACCTCACTAGGGTCCAGTAACAGATTTAAAACATTCATTGATGTTTTAAATATGTTGCTGGACTCTAGTAAGGTTTTGAGAAGTGTTATACATTAAGTCCAGTTAAAGAGTGAAAGAACTATCCTGGCTATGGCTTCTACGAGAGATGAGAGTATCAGTGATGATCTGTTTAAAAAACTGCAATGTAGCACAGTAATCAACACATGGCATGATTCATTCATTTATTCCAGCTTTTGTTGATTCTCACAATATTCTTCCATATTTCGAAACCGTGTTGTATCTTTATATGTGCTACATTGCAGTTTTTTAAACAGATATAAAGATACAACACGGTTTCGAAATATGGAAGAATATTGTGAGAATCAACAAAAGCTGGAATAAATGAATGAGTCATGCCATGTGTTGATTACTGTGCTACATTGCAGTTTTTTAAACAGATATAAAGATACAACACGGTTTCGAAATATGGAAGAATATTGTGAGAATCAACAAAAGCTGGAATAAATGAATGAGTCATGCCATGTGTTGATTACTGTGCTACATTGCAGTTTTTTAAACAGATATAAAGATACAACACGGTTTCGAAATATGGAAGAATATTGTGAGAATCAACAAAAGCTGGAATAAATGAATGAGTCATGCCATGTGTTGATTACTGTGCTACATTGCAGTTTTTTAAACAGATATAAAGATACAACACGGTTTCGAAATATGGAAGAATATTGTGAGAATCAACAAAAGCTGGAATAAATGAATGAGTCATGCCATGTGTTGATTACTGTGCTACATTGCAGTTTTTTAAACAGATATAAAGATACAACACGGTTTCGAAATATGAAAGATCAGTGATGATGTCAAATGTTATTTACACTTAATAATAAGTAAAATCTCCATCAACCTGAGGTTGGTGGCGATTTTACTTAATAAGTTTTCCAGCTCAAATTTGAAGAATTATCTTGTAATAATTTGTTTAATTTAAGTTTCTAGTAATTCATTGTGTACTTTAAACATGGTGCTCGCCTACGAACGCATAGCACCAATCACCACACGCGAGTAGTTCTACTTCTTCTAATTTCTTCTTTCTCATCGTCTCTGCCTTTGCTCTGGACTGTTGTATACGTATACTTACGCTACTTCTCGTGATAACTTACACATTTAAGCACCTTGCTGCTTTGCAGCATTTCCTGGGTTGTACCGCACCTTATTCTCCAACTAGCTCAACAACTTTCTGGGCTCCATTTGTATTAAGACGCGTGTAATTATTCTGTTACATCTCTTGTTTTACATCCAAATCACATTTTTCGGGTTTCTCTGTATAACCATATTCTGTCAGCAACGATTGTATTTATGTTGTATTACTATCTATTTTTGTTATTATGTACCTCTACTCCTGTAAACAACTGTAATTATTGTATCTTATCATGTTTCCACATCCGGCAGTGCATTGCGGCACCGGAAATGTACTTTTTGTATATAATAAACGATATTGACTGACTGACTGACTGT